CGGTACGAAAGTGGTAGTGCATCTTTGCGGATCCCTTTCTAAGCAGTACTATCGTATCAGTAATATACAACCGCCAGTGGCCGTTCGGAGGACATTGTGCTGGAGACGGCTTTGTTGTGTGCGCTTGTACGTCAACACCCCTTGAACGAAGTGGAAATTACTGGGCTCTTCCCCGACTTTGTTTTTGAGGTAAAACGGCAGCGGACCAACCTTGACGACATGCGCACCCTTGTAAATCTGTTTTGCTTGTTTCTTATAAGATTTTTATAAATTAATTCCGTCTGTTTGAATTGCCTTAGATTTTTTTTTGAGATATTTTAGGTCATCCTCAAATGGCAGTACTGCTGCGCCAGTGGTTGTGCGAGAAATGGCATGCCCACAGTGTTTAAAGCCGCTTCCGAAATGCGTCCTGTGCCGTCGGCATTTGGGCTCATATGTTCAAACAGAGTGTCCCGACTTGGGCCGCTTGTCATCCTGGTTTACTTGGTGTCAGGTATGATACTGAATCAAATGAGATAGATAGTGCTGTCTAACAGTAGTAATTGGCCAACGCACGGGCTCCCCGTGCGAAGATGCGTTTTTTGCATAGTTCCCCGCAGTTTTTGTCGCTACCGGCACCGGCTATCCCGGCAAATGCTTCTAGCTAAACAAATTAAGACTGGCCGTCAGAACTGTCAGGAAACACTCCCTTAAAATTTCAGCTTTCAAGCTTTCCTGACTTCCGAGTTAGAAACTTACTCGAAAAAAACTTTCACGAAGCCGCACGTGGGTACCACGCTTACCCGAGGGCTGGGTATGAGCTCATTAATACCCACATGAACGGGGAACATCTCCTTAAGATTTGAGCTTTGTAGCTTCTCGGATCCCCGAGTTATCAACTTACCCGAAAAAAAAATTTCACGCCCCCGTACGTGGGTACTACGCTTACCCAGGGGCTGGGTTTGAGCTCGTTAATACCTGCTTGAACGGGGAACGTCCCCTTAAAATTTCAGCCTCCCTGCATTTCTGGTTCCTGAGTTAGCAGCTTACCCGTAAAAAACTTTGGCGGGCCCATACGTGGGTACCATGCGGGTAAGAGCGCCCATTTTGGAGATTGAGGCCTGTATGTGTATGTAGATTAATTTCCCCAAGTTTCAACCCCGTAGCTTTTGTGAGTCTCGAGATGAAAAATCGGTACAGACGCGCAGCGCACACACAGACACACACACACAAAAGCACACAGACAACTTCTCGTCAATATGCGTTTTCTGCATTGCGTAGCTGCAAAAAAACGCATAAAAAGCATCTAGGAGGTCGATCTTTTCTTCCAGAAATCGAAACGGATCTGATTTGTCCCCAGATTTTCGGGTAGTTACTAAAACTCGGCTCGGCTCGGCT